AAATACAAATATAAATATAAATACAAATATAAATATAAATATAAATATAAATATAAATATAAATATAAATATAAATATAAATATAAATATAAACAAGTATAAATATAAATATAAATAAATATAAATGTGCATAAACTTGCATGCAGGTAACACAGATAATGCGCAGCTGCATATTTGGAAAGCACATATAAGCAAATACGAAAAAATAAAAATTAGAAAACACAAAAGTATAAAATAAAATATAAAATACAAAAAAATCAAAAAGACACATTTGCAAAGATAAAAAAATAAAAAAATAAATGGATTTATACGAACAGAAAATGCAGCTTTGTGGGGAGTTCCAGTTGCTGCTGGGGTGTACGTACAAGTCCCTTTTCCTTCTTGTAGCCCACGATGTCCTCCACTTCATATTCTTCACTTTTTGCAGAATACTTTTCCTTCTTCCTCCCTGCCAGCCAGCCACACCAAAGCAGACACACCGATGCGCCGCGTTCTGCTGCTGCTGCTGCTGCTGCTGCTGCTGCTGCTGCTGCTGCTGCGCAGAATACTTTTCCTTCTTCCTCCCTGCCAGCCAGCCACACCAAAGCAGACACACCGATGCGCCGCGTTCTGCTGCTGCTGCTGCTGCTGCTGCTGCTGCTGCTGCTGCTGCTGCTGCTGCAGTTGGCCCGGGTGCAGCTCCTCAGTGCACGGTGCTGCGCAAATGCCTTCAACTGTCTGTACACTTCAGTTAGCTTCTGCGCATCCACTGCTGCCGCGAGGCTGCTCGCAGCTGCAGTTGCAGCAGCAGCAGCAGCACTGCAGCAGCAGCAACTGCTGCTGCTGCAGCAGCAGCAACTGCAGCAGCAGCAGCAGCAAGAGGCCATCTTGACCCACCCTTCATGGCGACGCTCAAGAGCAGCAAAGTTGGAGGCGAGCGGGAAAAGAGAAAAAAGGAAAATTGCAAAAAAGGAAAACTGCAAAAGAGAAGCAAATGGAGCCCCGGGGAGTCCCAAAAGGCCAAAAAGGAAAAAGCAAAACTTGCAATTTTTTTCCAAAAGTTGTTGAGAGAGAAACTTGCAAGAGAATGCAGGACGCCTTTGGAAGACTCGAGAGTCGGTGCTGCCCCCGGTCGGGCGAGGCGTTGCTGCTGCTGCTGCTGCTGTTGCTGCTGCTGCTGCTGCTGCTGCTGCTGCTGCTGCTGCTGACGAGCCCCAGGGACTGGCAAAAGTGAGGCGAGAGATGCTGTCACCCTTCGTGGCTCAGTGTCGGGCCGCTGCGCCGTGCAGACACTGCAGCCTGTGGGGGGGCAGGCGCAGGCAGGCAGCCGAAGGCGAAAAAAAAAGGTCTTCAGGAAGAACAGCAGGAGCTCCGCAAGAAGAAAAAAGGTTACTTTTCGCTCGAGAGCAGCGGGAGCTTTCGCCGAGGTTTCCTTCGTCAGCGTTGGCCGCAGCCCCGCAGCGGCGGTGGCCGGGTGCGGCAGGGAAAGCTTTGCGATCCTCAACCTTCCGCAGCAACAAAGCCTATAAAAGTGCAAATTAAGAAAATAAATGCATTTATATTTGCATATTCCACGCGCGGAGAGGCGGCAAAGGCCCATCTCAGGCCTCCTTTCCACCTCCGGCCTGCTCGCCAGGCTGGCATGGCTGCCGGCGTCTTGCGTCGCAATCCAATGAAGAGGCAGATTCGGCCGGTTCTATCTCGCACAGATTATTCAGGAATGGTCGAAACCGAGTTTTAGAGCCCTCTGTGAAGTCCCAGGCAATGTCTACACAGCTTGTTGGCCTCACTCTGGCACTGCGCATTGCAGGTTTGCTGCTTCAGAGCGTTCATGCGGGATCCACGCAGATACACCAATTTAGAGGATTCACAGAGCACTTCTTCTTTAACTCCAACCAACCTTTTCCCTGTTTAGCGCTGCAGCGCGAAATTTCCCGTAAAACCCGCGGAGCTGCTGCTAGTGTCTGGCGCTGAGGCAGCAGCAAGAAGTCCCACGGGGTGTTAGCGTGAAACGGGAAACTCACCTCGCCAGAAAAGGCGAATACTGCCCGGTTAAGGGCCGATGTGGAGAATAAAATCAAAAAAGATCTTTTGTTTGAATTAAAGAGCCTTTTATTGCGGCCTTTGAGCCCTGGCGGCTGCAGAGCTGTTCAAGTTTCCGGAACAGCCACGGCGGTGACACCGGAGAGTGCAAGTCTGTGCTGAAGCCGTTTTAAGCAATTCAAAGTGTGCTTCGTGTTTTTAATTCTAAATATTGCATTATTTTTGAAGTTTTAATTAAAATAATACTTTTATAACCCCAAAGATCGCACATCCTTCCAGCAAACTGCCGGAGCTGCAGTGACTGCCAGCAGGCGGCTGCGGCTGCGGCTGCGGCTGCTGTCTGCGGGGGTTCCAGTTGTTGCAAATTCACGCAGTTTTCAAAGCACTTCATCTTGTCTTATTGCATTAAGGGTTTATTAAGGGTTTATTAAGGGTTTATTAAGGGTTTATTAAGGGTTTATTGAGGGTTTATTGAGGGTTTATTAAGGGTTTATTAAGGGTTTGGGCAGGGTTTACAGCGTAGGGCTTGGCCTATGGTTTCCTAGGGTTATCCGCGGGTTTACCGAGGGTTATCTAGGGTTTATCCAGGGTTTACCTAGGGTTTATCTAGGGTTTATCTAGGGTATATCTAGGGTTTATCTAGGGTTTATCTAGGGTATATCTAGGGTTTATCTGGAGTGTTGCGTGGTCTGCTGCCCTGCCAAACAGCTTTTCTGAAAGAGCTGCAGATCCCCGAAGCCTCAAACCAGGAACTGGACATTCCCGCGGCTTAAGAGCTGCTGCAGCAGCTGCTGCAGCAGCTGCTGCAGCAGCTTTTAAGAGCTGCTGCAGCAGCAACAGACCACTGAAAGCAGCCAGCGCCGCCTTTGCTGCTGCGGCCTGCAGCCACGAGAGCCCACTTGATCTTCAATTATTAAAACAAAAAAAAAAAAGATTAAAAGATCTTTTGTTCAACTTTTGTTCCGATTTGCTGCACGCAGTTCGCATTCTTCTTGTCCAGCTTTCGCAGCCGCTGCTGCTCTTTGTGTTGCACATTTTCATTCATCTTTTGAAAACAATTATTTTTAAAAACAATTATTTTAAAAACAATTATTCTAAAAACAATTATTTGCAAAAACAATTATTTGTTGGAGTTGAACAAATGAAAACGTGTTTTATTTGGCCGGAGTCCGCAGTCTGCCGCCAGGCAGCCCCGCGAGGTGCAGCGAGATTTGCTAATTTCACTTTTTAATTTTTAATTTTAAAATTAAAAATTAAAAAATGAAATATTTGAAAACTTTAAAAGCTCCAAAGTCCCCGCCTTCGCTTCCTCTTGCTGCCTGGCTCTTTGGAGCTCTTCAGCTTTCGATTTGGATTCTTTTCAAGTTTTCAAACTTCGCTGTCCAGACAGCTCTGCAGCTGCAGAATCTGCACAACTCAGTTGAGAATATGACAGAGTTTGCTACTTTTATTTAAATGGCTCAAAGGCCCATTTTAATAATATATATATATATATTTGCTATATATGAATATTATTATTATCATGATTACTATTATTATTACTATATATATATGCAACATATACATATATATGTAATATATGCAAATATTACATATATATCTATGTAAATATATATTTGTATATATATATATATATGTACATATAGAAATGACAGTTCTGCGTTAGCAGGCGTGAGGGTTTTCTCGAAGTTGTCTTTGAGTGCGAAAGATCATGGAGTTATTTGCTGCTGCTGCTGCTGCTGCTGCTGCTGCTACTGCTGCTGCTGCTGCTGCTGCTGCTGTGCATGCACGGAGTTGAAATGAAAGACATTTGAAAATTGGAAACTTAAATGCGAACTTAAGCTGCTCTGGAAGCCTCCCTTTTAAGATTTGCAATTTATGTTTTTGCTGTTCAAGAGTTGGCTGTGCAATTTGCTGCAGAACTCCACTCAGGATTCTGCTTTCGACGGCCAAAGTAATAGTTAAAGAGAAGGCGTGAAGTAAAAATTGAATATTTTATTATTATAAAATTAATCAGAGATTTGTTTTCTAAGTCGAAGTACCCAGCTGCAGCTTTCTTGCAAAGGCTGGCTCAGCCAGTGGATGCCTTGAATTTCAGATTCAAGATGCGCAGACTACGAAACACGAGGAATGCCCATCTAAAAGTAGTAAGAAGTGGAATTCATGTGGCCACAAATATAATTTAATTTCCATTTTGTGGCATTTTAGCCAAAAAATGAATGCATTAAGGGAGAACTCGCCGGCAGTGGCGCAAGTGGCGTGCGGCGGAGCGAAGGCTGCAAAGGCTTTTCTCTTGTCTTAATGGGCTAAAAGAGACAAAGGCGACACTCGTTAAGTTTATTCAACTTTTTATTTGCGTTTTATTTCCATTCAATTGGGAAAATTCCTCTCGCCGCGAACAGGCTCAGTTCCAGTTTTGCTGTGCGCCTGGCGGACAGCCCCATTGCCGGGCATACTGATACACTGGAGCGGCGGCGAGTCCGAAGGCATTTTTAGCTCACTTTGTTCCTTCAAACTATTTTTTTTCATTTGTTTGAAGTGTTTTCCCTTTTTGCTGCAGTTGGCTGCTGAGGATCTCGTGGCCGCATTTCAGCTTTCGCTGGACGCGGCAGCCTTGGGGCTGCTGCTGATCTTCCGTTTCCCGCCGCGGACTTGTCTCGGCAGTTTTATGAAGGCAAATAAAAACTCATTTGGAAGCAAAAGAGGAAATAAAAGGCAGCAACAGCTGCGTCGTGCTGCTGCCAGGCTCAGCGGCGAGGCTTCCCCCCCCCCCAGCTCTTCAGCTTGCTGTTAGCATCTCTGGAGATGCAGCCGCCGCACTTGCAAGGCACTGCCGTGCCTGGAGTCCCTGCAGTCACTGCAGCAGCAGCAGCAGTTGCTGCAGCAGCAGCAACGACCGCAGCAGCAGCAGCTTTCCCGCAGGCCTCCCTGCCTGCTGTCGGCCTGCCCGTCAACACTCTTGGCCCCCAAATGCAGCAGCAGCTGCAGCAGCCCCAGGCCATGCAGCAGCTGCAGCAGCTGCAGCAAATGCAGCACATGCAGCGCATGATGCAGGCAGCCCAGTACGGTAAGCAGCGCCTCTTGCTGCTGCAGTCTGCAGCCTAGCAGCAGTTGAGCCTAGTTGACTGCACACGCAGCTTCCATCTGCAGCAGCAGCAGCAGCAGCAGCAGCAGCAGCAGCAGCGCAACAGCAGCAAAGTTGGTTGGCTGCTGCTTTTGCTGCTGTTGCTGCGGTGCGGCGCAGCAGCAATGGTGCCTCCTCCGGGGGTGCCCATACAGCCCGACGTGCGGCAGCAGGTCGCTGTGGACCCGACGCACTGCGTGAGTCTTCTTGCTTCGCTGCTGCTGCTGCTGCTGCTGCTGCTGCTGCTGCTGCTGCGTCGGTTTCGCGTTGCTGCTGCCGCAGCAGCGCGGGAGTTGTCCACGCCGCCGCCGCTGCTGCTGCTGCTGCGTCGGTTTCGCGTTGCCGTTGCCGCAGCAGCGCGGAGTCGTTCACTTCTCCGCTGCTGCTGCTGCTGCTGCTGCTGCTGCTGCTGCTGCTGCTGCTGCTGCTGTGGGGCTTGCAGGCAGTGCAGCGGCTGACGGCCGAGGAGGCGGCCTCGGTGGGCAGCGTGATGGCCGCGGGCCGCGCGGAAAAGAAAAAAGTTCACCTCAGGAAGGCCGCGGGACTCATTTGGAGTGACCCCACGCTGGACGAGTGGACGGAGAACGACCACCGGTGCGCTGCTGCTGCTGCTGCTGCTGCTGCTGCTGCTGCTGCTGCTGCTGCTGCTGCTGCTGCTGCTGCTGCTGCTGCTGCTGCACGA